CCTGTATCAACAAGTAATTCCACTTGGAATACACTGAGGTACTGTTTTACCCTGGAGTGGGGAAACAATAGAGCTCCCCTTGCAAAGTCATCCATAAAAGCAGTGCAATGCACTATTAACTGATGTGGCAGTTAAGTTAGCATCCTGCAAAAGAAAAATAGAGCTTGCTAAGTTGCACTGAAAATTACTGACACAGAATCTGTGTCAGATCTGTTCTCAGAAGAGAACAGATAGAGTAATTTAGGTCTAATTTGAACATCAAGTACAATTTAGTTTGGCCTGAGCATGATCTGGAGCAGAATAACATTTGCTCGTTCACAGAAGCTAGTGATAGTGGCTTATATCTGTCTTCTCTCTTCTTAACTTTGGCTCTTGGTTCTAGGTCAAACTCCCACTTCTTGTAAACAACTCAAACATGCCTCTGACGGCCTCTCAGAATACAATACCAGCATAACCCCACTCCACAGGCTGGATCTTTGCTTTCCATCCTGAAGTAAAGGACAGCTTGTACTTAGTTTGGACCACAGGAGGATGGGGGAGAACATCATTCATTTTTTCAGAAGTGTAGAGGCAGTGATGTTAAGAGAATGATTTTCTTAGTACCACTTATTTCAGAAACCAGTATAAGGCCCAGGAGAACAGCTTTTTTTCTTTTTTTCTTTTTTTTTTTTAATTCAAGATATACTGGTATTTCCTCCTAATGGAAACATGCTTGAAAACATTCTCTTTTCCACGTTAAGACAGGCCTTAATTAGTAGGCACAAGTTTTTGAGACACGTAACAACTTTTTCTCCATGTGTAAACAGTAGCTATGAGGTCTCTGTTCTGTGCATGTTCAGTATTACAGCTCTCGCCCCCTCCAAATCAGGGCACTTTAAAAGTGCCTTTAGGATACAGGAGTCAGTGTTTTAACTTCTCCCTCAAAAAAGAGCTAGCTGACATTATGAAATAATTTGAATCTAGAAACTTAAGTGCTGAAGGGAAGAGAGCTTTTTCATGGGACTTGGGATGAAGTTACAGAGGTCAGCAACACTGCAGTTTACAAGTTTTACCAGCTGCGTTTAGTGCTTCCATGCGTGCAGCAGAGAGATCTTAGCTGACAGTCACCTCTAGAACATGTTTTAGTAGTCTCCCTGAGCTTCTTTCTCCACCCTCCTATATATAAATACCTTCATAGTACATGTGAACTAAATTTTTTTTCTTGCATTTTCTGAAGACCCTTCTCAGTACTATAATAAGAATACCAAACTTGCTGCTTGCTGCTCTTTCTCCTTTCCCTCTACCCCTTTTTTCCTTTCTAGGACTATTGCCTTTGATTATGGTGTTTCGGAAAGTTATTGATTCAGTTTTGAGGAGTTAATATAGTAGAGTAAGAAAAAAGTTAATTACTTTTTCTATTGAAATTAAATAACGTTTCTTTGAAAAGAAACATTGCTTGTCCAAAGGGACAGGAGGAGCTTGTTTGCTGTGATATACTAGAGATTAGAGCTTGAAAAAAAAATTCCCCATAGATTCTGAACAGTCCATCTGCAAAACTAATAACACTATTACAGAAACGATTACCTAGCTAATACTTTACACAAGTCAAATGACTAACAGTTCAGTGAATATCCTAGCATCAAACTCCAATATAGTCCTGACAGTGACAGGAATTATTTTATCATTTTGTAGCTGTTTAGTAATCTAGAAAGACCCAGTAATTTCACCACTACTTGTAGCAGATCAATGCCAAAAGACAAAACAGACCAGTCACGGGTAGCTGAAGACTTGAGACCATAGCTGTGAACATTTAATTATTCCCCCCCCCCCCCCCAAACAGTTAGCTCTCCAGAAAAAAACTGAAGTGTATGCACACCGTTATAATGAATTCATGTAGTGTGTACCAACTAGCTTTTGTCAGCATTAGTTCTTTCCATACTGGAGGAAAAGCTCATCACACCAATCTTATTCTCACACCTACTTACTCTCTAAGAAATTAATTTTAGGAAAAAGCTGGTTGCGAAAATATGCCCAGTCTTTGTGAAATAAGTCTTTGGCAGTGCTATGGAAGTCCAAGATCAATTATCCAACATATAGTTTGGATGATGAACAGTAAATAAGTCTATTAGCTGCACACATAACAGATAAGGATCAATGGCTTCTTTAGAATCAACAAGTTTGCTGGAGAAAGTGGTAGGATGCAATGATGTAACTAAACAGTTCGATATTAAAACATTTCTAATGTTTACATTCATTTAATTAATCAGGAAATGCTGTTCTGTATCAGCTTCCCCTGTAAGAATTTCAAAAATAAATCTGAAAGGAATGATTTGAGAAAAGCAACCCAAAGTTGATTATCCCCAAATACAATCTAATAAAAGCATAGGCTAATGAGAGAAGTGCTTCATCTGCATTTTAACCCCAAACTTAAGCCCAATACTCGCATAGATTGTGTTTTCTTTCTTCCTTTTACAGATAACAGCAATTACATATCTTCTGTCTGTCATACTAGTAACAGGGAAAGTGCAATCTATTTTGGAAGGGGAAAGTCTTATTCAAAGTTCAAGTCTTAATATTGTAACATATTCTGGGCAACAGGCGATTATTTTCTCTGGAAGTTTTCCCACCCTGCATTTACAACACACAAAGCACACAATTGTTTCAAGTTGCCTAGCACTCAACCTCCTGGTTCCCAAAAATATTAGACCAAATGCCATGGATAAGTACTTGGCAACTGGTTCACTGAACATTATTGCTTTTGTTTCCTTTTTTTTTTTTTTTTTTTTTTTTAAAAAGAAGGGGGAGGAAGAGAAAGAGCGAGAGAGAGAGAGAATTGCTGCACCCATTTTCCTTTAACAACTAGTCTTTAACAACTGATCCAAAAAGCACGCTCAGAGGAAAGGCTTTACATTCAGGATTCTTTTTCTAAATTATCAGGTTGCTCAAGAATTTATGATTCTAAGAGAAGTACATGAAAACTTTCTAACAGTTCAATAAGTTAGAAGTTTACCTGGCTCATGCTAACCAGAAAATGTTTCAGCTGAATTAAGGTCTAAAATATATTTTAGATTTTTCATTTACAAGTATAATTGTACAACTGCAGGATAGACAGCGCACCTGGAAGTATTATTTGAACTTCTCAGTAGGAATGAGTTTCCTGTATGACCTTTCACATATTAGATAACTAAAATCAGTAACTGTGAAAGTAGCAACAAGAATAGCATACAAACCCATTAGTCGGTAGAAGCGCAAAAGTATCTGAAATTAACTTTGTTCTTTCACTTCTTTTTTAAATCAGTTTTTGTATTGACTTCTGGTTTATTTTAACACTATTCATCACTGTACCTAGAGACAGGAAAGTTACTTCAGCTGAAGACAGCATTCGAAAGCCATCTTGCCATACTTGACTGAGATCTTACAAGATGGAATACATTTTCTAACCTTTTAATAACAAAAATGGTTAAGTGATTTGCCAAAGCAATGTACAGCTGGCAAAAGAGTCAGGAACACTGCTACATGCACTAGACAGTATGGATTTTCACAGCGGTAAAACAGAGCTTTGGGAAAAAGCAACTCAAACCTAGATGACTCAAGTATATGTTGGTATTGTGACCATAAAAGTAAAGATAACAAGCCATATTTTCATATGTAAAATAAATCAAACATTTGCCATCTTTCAAATATTTTATTTTAGTACTTTTAAATACGTTTTAATACAACAAAGATATAAAACAATATATTAATTCAATCTGAGTTTAGAATCAAAACAATATTTACTTATGTACAGTACTTGCTTTAAACTTCACTGGCATACCTTCTAGCCATTACGTAATACTATTTTCTCTGTGGGAACAAAATTGAAGCAACTGTTCAGTGTGAGAAGTCATGTTTCTACATCCGTATTATGTTACGAATTGTGCACAGTGCAGTCTGTGATTTCTCACATTTGACATATTTCTTATTTGAGAAAAATGAATTCAGAGAGACACCAGAACTAAGTTACAGTAAGTCTTTTAACCACATAGTCAGTTGGCTAGCAGGTCAGGTTACTGTGCTCCACATTTAACATCTTAAGTTCTTACACACCTATTACAAACTGGCTTTGAAAATGTGCATATCTCTAACTTATATACATTATATTCACTGCAACTTTAAGATACAAATGGTAAGCACTGCAGGAAACTGCTATATGAGAAGTTCAGTGTTCATAATACTATAGTGTTTGAAAGGTTGTAAGGAATTGAGGAATGAGCAAGGTATCCTTTGGAGTAAACCTACAGACATTTTTTCCAGAAATACTGTTTCAATTAGAATAGAGACAATGTCAAAGATACATCAGAAGTAGTAATCTATATGGATCACCAGTGGTCTACCAATTAACACCCGATTCTAAAAGTCTATATGCACCAAATAATTCATAGTGTGGGCTGGCTCACTATTAGGACTTCTGTAAAATAAGCTCCCTTCACAAGACTATGATAGTTTTGTAGCTACAGGTCAACTTTCTAATGAATAATGCTAGATTATTTGAAACAAAACCAAAGCAGTCAACATCCTTCACAGATCCTGGCAAACTCTCCCCCGCTCTTCAGTAAAGGTTATATGGACAGAATGAAATACTACTTGTCATAGTCCCTATTGATTACTTTTCTGATATTACACTCCAAGTCCACATAATCCACGTTTATTTATTCAAGACATTTGGTGTTTCTTCAAAGAGAAATTTCATGATTAAGATTCAGCTCCACAATGGTTTTGGTGCTTGCAAACCTCAGTAGACATTAAAAAGTACATAAAGGAGCTAAACAGAAATGAACAAGTGTAGCTCAGAACTGTGCAAACATTGCTAAAAACAACATAGGAATCTATACTTTTATCCTTGCTGAAGGACTTTAATACTTCTAAATAACATTTTATTTAACTTTAACATTTGCATCTGAAAGAGGGTTTTTCCCCCCTCAATTTCACTGATTTCTGCTTCTTAAAACAATTATCAAGGTTCTGTTCTGATGCGTGTTTTACAAAGTTTTTTTTTTTTTTGGGGGGGGGGGTTCTTTTTGCTTAGAACACATTTATGTAGTAATATTAGAAATTCTACTGGCACGTTTTCTTCTATTGCAGATGAAAAATCAGGGTAAACTGAAAAGAAAATGACATTATCCATTCCCATTACAGTATCAGTATACCATGCAGAGTATGCACTTGCCCTAATCCAAAAAAAGGCTTAAAGTCAAAAGGTAACCCTCACTGAAGTTAGTGATTAGTGATTTGCTTAGAGTTAAGCATATAGTTTGCTTCATCATAAGCAGTATACTTACAGCATCTCCAAGTCTATCACCTCTCTATCACCTAAGCGTGTGCATACATATATGCATGTCCACACATCCACTCCATGTATAACCCAAACTGATAGCACTAAGGAACAGCTTAGGACTACTGCAAAGTCTCAAATATTCCTGGATTTGCCAAGTTACCAAGTAAAAGTATATAAAACATGACCTTCCGCCTCTTTTGTATATCCAGAATCATTCAAAGTCAGACCGACTTTTCTACTTGATTGATTTGTGCACTTGATATTACTTGATTCATGTTCTTGTTAGTCACTTGCACTCCCTAGGTAAAGAACCGACCCGATTCATTCACTGCTCTGAATTCAGAGGCGTGCACTCCCCTACACCATACTAGATGACATGTGTAAGAAACAGATGCAGCAAGTTAAAGGAGGGCAAAGGGACTGATACATGAACATCAGGGCGAAGGATCAAGCCTGAATATACTTAGCATTGTCTCCAAGGCCCGCCAACGCTCTGCTGCCTTCATTTATAAAGGCTCGTCAGCAGCAGAGAAGCACTAAAACCCTTTTAAAGCACCGACTCTTTAAAAAGCAGGCACAGAATTTTCAGGCTGTCAGTCACTTGCAGCTTGTTTCCATCTAATTAACAATAAAGCTTATTCTACCAACTTTAAGGATTGACCGGTGCTATTCTGCAAGTGAGATCAGATTTTCTAACAATTTCAAGCCTTCCACTTGTGTGTTTACAGACAGACAAAATTAACTTCCAAAACAGAAGGGGACAATTATCTTGACAATATTTTAACCCACTCCAGTTCTCACAAAAACCAACCTTTATATACTGTGCATCTCAGACACAGATATTTAGCATCAAGGGAATCAGCACAAAAGAACAAATTTCTTTTTAAAAACACTGATAAGCAATGCTGACTTAACACACAGATTTACTTAACAGAATTTGAGAAAACATATTCAAAGAGAAGCCTTATGCTTCAAAGTATTTCAACTTAATAAAAAACTAGCACTGAAATGATACCTTTACTGTTATGTAAACACCATTACACTGGGCTATACTTCAGATTTGTACTATGTGAATAAGTTCCAAAATAATTTTTCAACGCAGATGTTGGTATGCCAGTTAGCACTGACATAGTTCTTTTCAGAATCAACAGCTTCACAAGTTTAATTGCACACCTTTCCCCACATTATAACTCAGAATACAATCCTGCACATCTGAGGACAGATGGTGTAAGAGTTTAAAACAGCATTCATAACAACCGTGTATGCATTGCAAAGGCAAATATAAATTAGTAAATAAAACTCTCTTATATCAAGTCTCAAGAGGAATGTTCATAATTGCCTTTCCTAAATCAGAAAGGTAAGGACAACAAATGAATAAGTCTTTCACAACATATTCTCCTTTTTTGTTAAGTAGAAGCATACTCCCCCAATCTGGATGGCCGGAACCATCAGGCTATGGCAGATTGAACAATGCATTATTATACTTGCAATTTTGCTAAAAATTGGAATGTGACAAATATAAAAGTCTGCAGAATAGTACAACACGTGTGTGCTCAATGCACTTAGTACAGAGACTAAGATGCACAATTCCTCTGTGAAACAGGAGCTAAATTAAATTACAAAAGTAATATATTATGAAAAGAGGAAGGCTGTCAAGTTAGTAATTGTTTCTAGTACAAACCAGGTTTATAAAAGGAACACAAAGAGAAGACCACCACAGTAGGTTACCAACCTCCAAATACAAAACTGTCTTGCAAGAGTCAACCAAAGGGATTCTTTTCCATGCAAATATACATACATTATGGTCATAAGTCAGCCTGTACCAAGCTGGAAAAGTTTTGTGCAACTTCCCAAGGCTGACTTACACTACCTTTCACATATACCACCTATTCTGAAATTGCAGTAATTAATGAAAAGGGCTACACACTTCATGTGAATTACAACTTTTACCTAACAGGCTTAACCTAATCAGCATAAACCTAATTTCAGCTCTCTTCAGCCAGTGGTAGTAATGTCTTTTTACAAATCATTGCATGAGCAGATACCAACTGTGTGATTCTTGTTTATACATTACGGGCTCAGAGTGATTTTTACAGCCAGAACTGCTTATGCTACTTTTATCTTTCAGCGTAGTAAATGAACAACTCAAGAACTAGTCTTTTTTCATACTTGCTAGAAGAACACATACTGTGTATATATATCCAAATATACTGTGTATATATATCCAGAGATATTCACCATATCATTGACACCAGAGCGATGAAACTTACCTTTAAAATACAAAGATCAATATGAGCACTATCTCCAAAACTCACTACTACACTTTTCCTGAAGAGTTACCAACATGCATTTTCCCCACTGATTTACGGGACAGTAAGATATGTGAAGATAACTTATATTTCTTCCAATGTTAAAGAGCTGCTCATAAAAAGCATGCATAGGTTTGGATATAAACCAATTAAAACCACACAGAAAAGTTATCTTGTGGCTTTAAAAGCACTAAAGCTAACTTTACTTTCAGTGGATGTAGCATTTATTTTTAACTCATTTATTGAAACAACAAAGGGAAAACCTTCAAGTGCTAGAACAACCGCATAGACAATTGATAGACTTGACTAAATAAGCTCTCATTAAAACAAACAACAACACATCATCACTACGTACCCACAAGGCAGACTTTCCTTTTTTGGCATCCTGTAGGCAGACCGTTTACATACGCAATTATTCTTTAAGACTTGTTACTCAACAGTTGAGATCCCCTTTCAGTAAGGAACATCTGCATTTCTCATTATAACACAATACTCCTCAATCTAAGTGTACACAGAGTTCGTTTTAAAAGATAAACTTACGACTGTTTTAAAAGAAAGTCAGAGTAATTTTTTAAGTCAGTATGCATAAAGGCTGACGTGTCAAATAACGGAGAATATTTGGACCTATAAAGGATAGGTTATATTCAGTACAAGCACGTATTTGAGGTTAAAGTTACTTAAACATTCACATAGAACCTTACTAAGGGTAAGTCTTCTGGTTCATATTCATGATTCAGTGATTGCCTTTACCCATTCCTGTCTTCCTTTCTACTTAAGCAAAAACAAAACACATCCCTGTGAAGTATTGGTATCCCGTTATATGGCTAATAATCTAAGAAATGAGACAAGCAGGAGGAGATCACGGAGTGAAAAATGTTATTTTCCATCCCCCCAGCTAGCCTTGTAGGGTGTGAGTCATAATGCTTCATAAAAATCCGAATTAACCCTTACGCTCTTCAGCCAATCAATCTCTTCATTATTGTGGGCTTTGAGAAGGGCCAGCAATACTCATTGGGAACAGTACCATTAACATTGCATTCAAAAAATGAAAACATAGGAAACCAGATCCTTGCTCTCCTACTCTGTTGATATGCTCTAGTATTCGCCAACGTATGATAATACAAGAAGAGTCTTGTAGTGATGTAGAAGGCAATGAAGACATCTATAGAATAATGTTCATGCGCGGCCAAAATGAAGAAGATTCCAAAGAGATTCAGGACCCAGGACAAGGTATGCAAGAAGTTCCAGCTCCTTGGCGTATCTAAGAGAAAAAAGAAGTGATTAATTGGACCATCCCAAAAACCTGAGCTATTATTAAACCATTCCTAGACAACAGAAGTTTACAGACAAGTTTTTCATCCACAAACGTGATCAAGTTACTGCCTTCTTCTGGAAGGTCTGTTTATATCTACCAGTCCAATAAATTCAATGACAACAAGCACAAGTTGTAAAGATCAATTACTTCATCACTTAATTTACAAATACAGCTGCTGCTGTTCATTTCTGGATCAACAGAACATCCTAAAACTATTTAGGAACATGCAAACCTGAATTCCTTGTCCAACAAGCTTCTGTTAATGAAAATCATGCCTTATCTAGTATTAAGGGGGAAAAATAGCAGATTTATAAATGCTTTATGACATCACAATCATACCATCACAGTTGAACTCAAACTAACTATTTTAGCTTGCTATATAATGCATCAAATTGCACTTCATAATTACAGAAGAGCACTACTGTGTGATATGTTCCCATTCATTTGGAGATTTGATACGTTGGCCGTACAGATTATACTGGAGAAACACTTAGCCTGGGACTGTGTCTGACAGGGGTCACTGGCAGATCTGTAATGAAGTGTATAAGGAACAGACAAGCATGAGCGATATCCTCCTCAGTATTCTCCCAGTAGCGAACTAGAAAGCCTTTCCAAATTTCTTGGCTCACATGTTTTTTCTGATGTGCCCTATTTATCCTTCCACTAACCCACGTGGTGCAGTTCCTTTCCCATCTGGAAGAGAATAGTCACGAACCTGAGAAAGAGTGCAGCAATCTGAATTTCTCTCAGCTCTAATGCTGCACCCCGTCCGTGCCTTTGGTTGATGGCAAGCAGTACACACTCTCAACACTTAAGGACATTTAAGTATTGACACTTTGTACTTACATTCTGTGACAAAGAAGTTGAGCATGGTCAGGACAACAGTATGGCCACTGAACATATAATCTCCACACGTATGTACTCCAGTCAGAGTCATTCCAAAGCCACTCCATATTGCAAACGCCCGCTGGAGTTTTGCCCAAACATTGCCATACAACTAAAAGACAGTGTCATGAACCTTTAGTAATTTTTTTTTTTTAAACACATCATCTCCTTAGAGTTATGCCATTGATAACTGAACAACAGCTGTCTAGCAGTATACTTAATATCATTCATCATTTTGGGCTTTTATTAAAATACAGGTTACCATATGTTTGAATTTTATTGAGGCATAGCGAGTCATATTAGTAACTATAATTATACCCCTGATGAATCCTGAAATATAAAGCAAGTATTTTCTGGTAAGTGATTTACATACCGAGACTGCCACCAGTATATTGGAATGTATTCTACCTCCTAATGTGTCATTGTCAAGCTTCCAATATTAAGCTCAAACATATTGCAATTAAAAGTTAGAATAAAAATATGAAACCCCATGTTGTATACCTCTTCTTAAAAGGGGTGAAATATTAATAGTTTTTTTTTTTTTGAAAGCCATGCATCTAACAAGACAAAGACACAACTACTCCATATTCAGCCCTTCCTCATTAAGTCAGTGCCTTCGGTTCACATTTCTCTAACGTATTCTTTCCAGTTTATATTGCGAAATATCCTAAACACCCCCTTCTACCTTTCCCAAATAACTATATCCTCTCCAAAGTGAAAAATGCCTCTAAAATCCCTAAGAACGGATACATGCATAATGGGAATTTTGGAGGGGTGAGGTTGACTGTTCTTACAAACACACAGCTAACATGATGGTCACAACAACTTTAATCATAGATTAAATTTGAAAAAAGGGGGGAGGGGGAAGGAAACAAAATTTTAAAGTATTGTTGTTTTTTTACCTTTCCAGTACACTGTAGATGCTGGCCTGGCACAGAGAGTGAGGTAACGAACATTGTAATGCAACGTAACAAGAATACTGTCCCCATGAGGCTGCAGAGCCTTCGCAGAAGTATAGATCTGGGAAGAGCACACAGGAACCGATAGTAAGAATCCTAATATATTGTATTATTAGATTAAGAAAATGATAAAAGCAGCTCTCCCCGACTTAATCCCATGAAATCATTTCACTATTGTTCCCCAAGCTTTGTTGCAAGTTTGCAGGGTTTTTTTTTTTTTTTTAAATTGACACTGTAAAGGTATGGTTCCGTACGAAAGGATGAGGCAACATAAGAAGCTCACTGCCATCAAAAGGGATAGCCCCATTCCTCTACAACCACATTTGTACTAGCTTTGTCACTCACATGTTCTGTTAGTGAACTGATAACCCTCAATAAATTGGTAAAAATGTAACTTAAAATACGCACACACAAATAGACTTTCTCCCTTCAGTAGCAGCAAGCTGCCAGGTTGGCTCAGCTGTCTCGTAGTATTTCATTTTTGTGGAATTTTCTTATACACAAAATTGTTACAGTATGAGAATATATACAACTCCTTGAAATACTTGGGTTCTGAAGGAAATTGCACATAGAATTAGTGGAAAAGTACATTCAGATCACTCCTTCATAAGGTTCGCAAGTCAACATTCTTAACTAAATCCTCCCTAACTCATTTTAAGATTTTCCTTTTAATAATAAAAGCTGATAAACTTCTAATATGACTCTATTAGAGTCATAAATTCTAGTAACGATCCTTCCTCTGAATCAAGGTACCAGTTAATTCAAATTTTCATATATATATATATATACATATATATATATATAAAATCTCATACCTGTGTTTGTGAAGGAGAAGAACCAACAGCCAAATATAGCAAAGAATTACACCACACACTTCGGTCATAGCAAAAGCCCATGGTATCCTAGGGACACTAAAACAATGACAAATCAAGAAAGTTAACTTACAGTATAAAAGCCTCAATGTTCTTTCTAGTCTCAGTATTTAGAAAACAGGCATTTAAATTTGTAAGCTCTAACTACAGAACTTGCATTACGCTGATAAAAACTAGACTGGATTAAACATGATTTATATTTATTTTTAATTACCTTATCTTTTTCTAATAATGTATTTTTGGCAGACATATACATGGAATTCCCTAAGTCAAAGAAAATCTCTAGGATACTTTCTAGTAATTTACATGTATGATTCCCTACCAAGATATGTTCTTTTACCATCCAGTTGCCCAATGATCTTTTCCATCCTGACACATTAACTTACATCATGTCTATTATTCTGCTTATGTGAGATCGCCACGTCAACACAATTAACGGAATGCTGCAAAGTTTAAAATCATAAATATATGAAGTAGGACAGAAAAGCATCAGGAAAAAAAATAAAGTTAAATTTCAGTGATAATCAGTATATGCAAACCTTTTAGCCTCGTCTGTCAAAATATTTAATAGCTTCTTGCACACATATGGCACGAGTAACAATTTCCACTCTGCAACTTCACCAAAATACAGACTGACACATTTCAGCAGAGTTTGTTCCTCAAAGTTCTGCGTTCCCTTTGATACAAAGAGGTAGCAAAGCACTGCCCAAATGCTAGCTCTGCAGTAATCCTCTGGCATTGTTTTGTGGGCTGCTGCTTTCCGGCCTCCTGCCCACTGAATGCCATGTTAGTGCCTGGAAAGAGAGTCCAGCAATGCTGTAACTCCCAGTCTCCCTCCTCCATTCTACTCTGCTGAGCGCAGTCAATCCTTGCCAAGTAATATCTACATTTGCAGTGGATTTTGCACACTTACTCAAAAGATTAGCCTTACTGACTTCACTAAGACAATTAATGCAAATAGAGATTACTGGCAGGAATAAGGACATAAGACTGAACTTCTAGACAGTTTATCTTGTCTCCTTAAACTCTCTAGGCATTAAGCTCTCTATGGCGTAATTGCACATAGACCATTTATCCCCTATCAAATTTCTAGTCAATGACTAGAATTTCACCTCTGCGACTGTATACCATTTCAGACTGGAGTGGAATATTTTCTTCAACACTAAAAAAAATGAGCAGGTACTGCATAAATCACGACTATGTTTTAATAGATACTCTGTGGTTAAAAAAGTGTTGTCTGTTAAGCCTACTGCAGAGTGTCTCTAAATCATCATCAACAAGCGTACACTGGAGAGAGAGCACAAAAACAGTATTAACGCTATCACCCTTCAACTTTCTTGCTCACTGGCACTTAGCTTACCATCTACCTCAAAGCAGAAGAGAGCGTACCTTCTCCACAAAGCCAACCATCAGTGGGCTGCTGGGACACACAGACAGCTCAGAACTAAGACAAGGATATTCTTTCATCAAAGAATTTTTCGATAAAGATACGTAAAAATTTCATGGCAACATCTGGATTTAGCAAAAGCACATGGCTGCTTATCTATGTCAGCTGACTTTTTTTTTTTTTTTTTTTTTTTTTAAAATGTACAGCAATCAAGATACAAATACATCCAGGTCTATTTTAAGGTCACATCTCAGGCATGGTGGAGAGAATCAAAACACTTTCAACATCCTCCAGGAACTCAGACAGCAATTTCTGCAGAAAATATTCTTCTTCCTATCTAATTTCCAATGTAAACAAACTACTATGGATAGGCCAAACTAGAAAACCCATCTACAAATGAAGCTAGGTTCTAACCCACAAGGTTCCTTTGCAGCTTTTATCAGGAGGACTATTCAAAGGCACAGGTCCTGCTTTCTTCCTTTATTTTAACCTTTTCTCTCACACCAAAGTACCTAACTTGGTTCAAAAGAACAAAATGGTGTTTGCTTTAATACTCCACAAACTCTTCACTCCTAGTTCTGCAGTGATTAAAGACGACAAGATACATACGAGATTGAGATTTTTAAAAAAGTTTATCTTTGGAGAGAGGCTCAAGCATTACGCAAACCCCTCACAGAAAGTAAAGGCTCTTTAACTCTCTGAAAGATGGACTTATCGGCAAAGCAACCACCCCTTGCTATCGACATCGCAAGTTCAATCTCTTAAGCAGGTTCCTCATAAAACCACATATACTGGAATGAGAGGATGGAAGAATTTAATCCCTGTATTGTAGTATTACTATTAGTAGTTAGCTAAAGTTGAAATAAATAGCAGAAATAAATAGCAGAAATAAATATAAACTGGGTAGAACAGCTCAATTTCTTTTCCCCTGCTCAGACTAAATTTCTACTTCTAACTGAGGCACATTTCAATCTTAACAGAAGGGTCTAATATACTCAAACTATTACTTTGCAGGAGCATCTTCAAGAGCATATGAAGCTTTTTGACAACAAAGAACAGATAACCTATGCTTTAACAATCAATTTATTGGTTTATTTTAAAAGAAAATTTCTTACCTGTCTAGAAATATGTCTGGCAGAGGTGGATATGTCTGCATGTCAGGTACTCGCTCATGTACTATAACCATAACAAATGATGTAAAGCCAAACACTATGAAGACGTACACACAACTTAAAACCGTCTTCCAGTACTCTGGGTCCAACCTTCGCATAGAGTGTTTGTTTTTTCCATTTGAGTATTGATACTGATCACCATTCAAGTCAGTAACTGGTCCATCATAGTCTCGAGGTACTTCACCGTTACAAAACCAATCTGTACCTTGAAGTGCACCAACACTAGGGCACACTGTGCTAAGATGACTATCACTGCTGTAACCCAGCTCTTCTAGGACATCAATATGTTGTTTTTGTAGTTTGCGAATGGACAACATTAGCCTTTTGATATCTCCTAGGACTTTGATTTCTAAAGGAGGGGATCGTAAGTCATATTCAGTAAGTGTCAGTAACGTAATTCCATCTAGCCTATGTCTATTGCACAAAATATCCACATATTCACAGAAGCCTTCTTCTTTCAGCCACCTGGCCACATTCTTGGTAGTCCAACGTCGAATGCAAAGCTGGTTATTGCCTGCCATCATCCTTCTCTATTCGCCAACAAAATAGACCTGTTATATATTGGAGAAAGAGACAAGACCTAAATGTTTACTAAAGATTACTGAAATGTCAGTGTATCTTGCACACTTCCAGATGCTTAATTAGCCAAAATATTTTTACACAAGAGCTAGCTTAAAAAGCCCATGTAATTCATTATGTAAGCAGTTTAAAAACTATTTAGACATTCTTTTAAAGCAAAACTAAATTAAGGTTATCTAATTCCTAAACAGAAAAGGAAATTTAAAGTCATTCAGAAAAAGAATATTTCCTAGGTGCACCCAGTCTAGTTTTAGTCTTTTGTTTAAAAAAAAAAAGTTTGTCAATTATACAAGGCAATGAAAAATCAAATACTTTTCTGTTTAAATATCAGCTTAAGCATTACTCTCTTCTACTATTTGAAATTCCTAAACTAAGCAAGAAAGGACAGCCTGAAACCATATAAAACCAAATTAGGACTAAAATAGTACACAACAGGTCAAAAACTTTCCACTGCTTCAAAAATATATACTGACGCTTTGGTGACTTGAATCTCCTGGTAAACTCTAAGCCAAGGTATCTACAATAAGTAGGTGTACGTTAATGGTGTAGTCATCGTATTTCAATATATGTTTCCTTTGAAGTAATTAAGATAGAAGTTTGTCATACTGTAAATCATTTAAGATACTCACCTTTTAAAATCACATTGGAGATTGAGCATTAGTTTTATTCCAAAACATCTTTAACAGTGATGTGATAATAGATACCATAACTGCACACTAAAAATGAAAAAATATATTCGCTTCATACAGATTTCTCAGTAACTGTTTTCTTGACTCTAAAATATTGTTTGAAGGAAGGAAACACATCCCAGCAACACTTTACTCGCATGGAATTGACAATTGTAGACTGTAGTTCTAGTCCATACCACCGTAAGTAATTTAATATTTTTAGAATAAAAAAAAAAAAAAAAAAAAAAAAAAAACAGAACACGATCCACTAAATACAAGGAAAAAAAAGGCAAGTGATGTAAAACTAATAAAAAGCTTATTCAGTATTTAAAAACGCATGAACAGCAATACAGAATGAATTTGTGCATAATTTGTATGTGGTGGCTTATGTACAGCTACCCTCCAAGAAACAGCTACAGTTTTACAATTTTCTGTCCTAGGAAAAACATCTAATTTACAGGAAAAAAACTAATATACTAGATTCTTTCAATCATGATGCCAACCAAATCATAGCACAAAGATAATACAACACACTAGCTGCCACAAACATATTTAAAGTTTTCAGAGTGAAAAATCAGAAAACATTCTATTTTATCTATTGTTTAGCTTCTGCATGTAGTAAACACGCACTCAAAACCAGTACAAATATTCAAGTTTTACATAGTTTTCAGGGATGCAGCCTGTGAAAAAGGGCTGAAAAGGTAGCCTGCGCTCCTGATCCCACCAAAAGCTCTTTCTTTCTCACTTCCCTTTTAAAAAAGGTACTGTGCCTATAGTACTGCTTTCTGAAAATTCACGTTTGCTATTTTTAGAAGTAGCACTTCTAATGCTATGAGCTGGAAAAGGCATGGTCTTCTCTTCAAACGCAGACTTATTTATTAAGGTTATCACAAAGACAGCTAATTCTGGTTACCAGTATCTGTCCATTTCTGTGCTTTACTACTTTTGAAAATCTCGTGCAACAGCTCTTTCTCTACTTTGATCATACAGTTATTAGCAAAAGAATTATAATATTTAATTTGCAATTAATGATCAGTTGACTGATCTGTTTTGTACTATATCTTATTTCATCTTAAGTAAAGTAGAAAGTTTTACTGAAAGTCAAAAACAAAACAAAACAAAACACCCACCACACACCCACCTGAGTCACCTATCTAGACCTCTGGCTTTTCTTACTCAGAAAGATAGATGAAACGCAATAAGGGCAAAATTTGTTAAACCTAACATTACATACAGTGTAACACTATAATCACTGCAAATTTTCTAGAAGCAGTGAATTTAAAGACCTGCCAAAAATTCACTCAACTTACTGATTTGTCTTCTAACCAAAGCCACTTCTGAGGGTAAAGGCAGGAAATTCTCCTTAATCTACAAGAATTCTGTTTATGTGTTACAAGTCAAGAATCCTAACACCAACCTAGCATTTATTCATCTAGCGTTGCAAGAATAAAATACAATCCCATATCACATGCAATAAAAGTGACCTTTTAACACCAAGTAAGCATACCCCTCCTAAATGTCAAAGGTCATTGCTGAAAGGGCTGGATCTGGGAGAAAGCCTGCATCAACTTATGATGCACCCAATCAGATCTGTTTCTATTTTTAAATGCGTCAAAGACAAGACAGTTGAGCAATTAAAAGACAAAGTAGCCAACAAAAGGAACAAGCTCTTACACAATACGCACACGTAAGCCGTTCCACACAGCTCATACTGAACTTCATCTTTACAGCAACAGTTCAGTTTTTACGACAATGTTAATTTCTTTAACTTGGAAGCTGCATTCTCCAGACTACTCATTTAGAGCCACTTTTGTAGTCTACACAGTGAAAAGCACTTTTCCTAATAATCCTAGCACTGGAAATACAACACAGATCTTTATGCCCAACTAGCAAATGCTCATTTGTGAAGCTTAAGAAAATTGCCAGCTTACAGGCCAGAAACAGAAATATTCTACATCCATGATAATCAACCTTAATTTCTTTACACATCTTTTGGAAATTTCTTTACCCCAGTATTTTAACTTGGACTCCAAAATGGATTTATGTTGTAATATTACCAATCTGCAATGCCAGACTGACCAATGAAATGGAAGAGACCAAGTTGCCTAGATAACGGTACCTGTCTTTTAACACAAAACAGCACTGAAAACTACTTTTTTGCCTCCTACATCCCTGGTTTTATCTCTGAAACTAAATAATGGAACATTCATGAGTAACGCAGAGCAAGCAGGAACTTAAGTGCCAGAGGACAGAAGATACTTTTCACCTAACATCAGCAATGTCTGCAGCCAGTCAATTATTTGCTTTCCTGTTACTGTAGTCTTACATTTAGTCAGTTCATCAGTAGGGCATATCATGTGTTCCATTTCCCTTTTTCCTTCCTCAGCCTTTCAATAAACAGCATGAACACAACTGAACAAGAACTTGTGTGTGTGCATGCACATACACATGTATAAGGATATCTTTTTTAGAAAGAGTTATATTATGAGCCATGTATATTTCTAGAATTTGGACAGGGCATTTTAAAAGATAAGGTGCCTCTGAGAGGCAGAGTATACTCCAGCTGTTAGCATAGTATGTTTCTTAAATGCATATTTAAAAATGAAAAATTAATCTCTCTCAAAATGATTATCCACAATTTGTATCATGTTTTCCACTACGGAATTACTGCCAGTCAACCATTAAGTAGCTCTGTGCTTATAAAGTTCCCAAACATACAGACTTTGGTTCAGTATTTTGAGCTAAAAACGTGGAAAGCTGAATATGATTATCACTACTACAGCCAGGGGAAAGTGGCATTAACATACTAACATTTAGGCTGGGATCCTGTTACAGAAACAGAACTTGATTACACCAAAATCACAGCTGAAGGGTTAGATGAGATTCTAGCTATGTCTGCAGCACAGCACACAACACTAACCGAATTAGGATTTTGCATGCATATCTGGAGTAAACTACCAGCATCATTACTGTTCCACAATCTGCCCATGTGCGCCTGGGAGGCAAAGCCTGTAGCTCTCTGCTGACACACTTACTGATTTCTTTTCCACATAGGTTCAAATCTTGCCATCCTTGAGATAGATTTTAGGAAGGACAATGAAGAACTATCAGATCTCAAGTGATTTAACCTACATTTCTGGGTAGAAGGTTTCAAGCTGAAGTATAGACAAGTCCAACTAACCCCTTCCTTTACTGCATCAGCTGGCCCAAGAGTAAAACATCTCACACCTCAGGTGAAAAGTTTTTCTATACAAAGTCTGCTGTTTGCAGTGCAGACACGACCCAGGTTTGAGTACTTGGCTCCCCTGCACAAGAAAGCCATAAACAAAGACGTATGCTGAGCCAACTTGCAATAGTAATGCTACTGTCACATACCAATTTAGAAATGCTGTGCTGGAAAAAGAACATACAGCACTGCCTTGTTATGCATAGAAAGTCTCAGATTCTCTGTTGACTGGCATTAGAAGTTTGCCACTTACTCTTCCTGAAAACCCATGAGTTCTTCAGTGCTTATTTAAGCAAACAACATCAAAGGTTTCATTGCAATATAACATACATTAATGCAGTGATTTGATCCTTACCTAAACACCCCTATATGTAGTAAGATATCTTGTAAATAGAAGAAGAAAACTTGCATAAATAAAATGCGATTAAAATTTTTAAATACAATAGCTACCCCTGTATATATAAGGCTGATCAAGCACAGAACAAAAGCCACTGAGACTGAAAAATTACAGAAATATTTTCCAGAAATAAGCTCACAAAAACTTCAAATGCAGAAATATTCCCATAAAATTTGCATTCTCTTTTTCTTAGGGACTTTGCAATGATAGTTGTTTCATAAACATTTTTACTAAGTGATATCAGCAGTATTTTAGCTGTACTCAAAGATCTTAGTGCTTTTTCTGAAGGCAAGATAAGAAAGTTCTGAAATTGTCATGTTTAGTTTATTCTATGTCTTAAATTTTTAAACCATAAAGGAATGTGTGTTTCTCTAGCATTACTCATTCAAGTGCTGCACTGTGGAAAATGAATATAAAGTTTATACTTATAAATTCAAAGATTTGCTCCATATGCTTAGGAGAGTCTTTCTGTTGGGAAGTAAAACTGACAGCAGGTATTACAGAATATCCTGAAAGTTAAACATATTTGCCTTAAGAACCACTAAAGTGCTATTACGTATTGCAGCAAGCTGAATAGTATACATACTGCTCCTTGACTTTTACACGTCATTAAACCAAATGGGTTGTACTGTACTCAAGTGAATGCTCTTAACAGCTCACCTCTATTCTAATAACTAGCCAACAAAACACTTTTCATCCTGCCACTGTAATTCAAGGCGCACAAGTGATTTTTAAACAACTGAACAACTACTCCCCCACTCAAGTTATCTTAGAACATAACTCAGAGTATTTCATTAATATTTGTACAAGACCTTGAACACTTCACATGCTAAAAGTCAAATGTCAAGTTTGTTGTTTTTTTTTTTTTCTTCCCCTTTTTCCCCCTCCTCCAGCCTCAAGAAATACTATATCCATCTGGTAACAGAACGTTTGCTGTTGTTTATCCAGCCTACCAGAAAAGAAATTTGGGTTTGCTGCTCTCTCCTTTCACCTCCTCCTTCTCTTCCCACCCTCCCACCTTAAGATGAAAATACAGGAGAGATAAGAAAGATCTACCCATCCAAAT